AAAAAAAAAAATCCCAGGGTTTTCCAAGACTGAAAGATGGAAGGTATTTTTCCGCACGGCATCTTATGCATTTTTTTTCCCCTTGGATGTTTGTATATCTTTTGAAAATTTGACCTGATTAAAGTACAGCTCCTCCCAGCTTTGAAATAACACACCTTATTTTTCACCGTTACACCCTTGTTTGAAAATAATTCAATCTGTAATTCTATTAACCCCCACCCCGTAACTTTTGGTTTAACTACTACTTCTGGAAGAGACGACTGCATGTTAAGCTTGATCTTTGGAAATGATGTGCAATAAGCGAGAAACCTGTCTCCGCCCCAGCAAACCAGGATTGGGAAGAAAAGGAGGGCTTTGATCAAGGGTTTTTTCCCCCTCCTGTGCTACTGATTTGCTTACTGTGTATTCGATTCGCGTTCCCAGTAAGGCGAAGCTCTATATTTAGCCGACATCAGAATCGGGTTTAAGGGAGTGGAATAATGAGTGGAACTGCCAGTTTCAATGAATAAGGTATTGAGAGAAAAATGCTGCTGAAGGATTTATCTTTTATGATATCAATATACATATGAATGGGAAGACATAAAATGGGATTTGTACATATTTGAGACACTTCCGAAAATATACGTATTTTTTTCTCCCGTTTCGTATTTATTTATTTTTGGGATGGGGGCTGGGAGAGCCTGCTAAAAGTCGGTGACTCTACACAGCAATCAACAGCTTTCATCACGTTGAGGGGCTCAAATGAGATTATATGCGTTCGAGGGAAGGGAACGGGGGCAAAAAAAGACTAAAAAAAAAAAAACGACAGCGGCGATTAACCCTTTCTCTCCCTTAAAGCACCGCTATAAATTCTGTCCTGCATTTGCTCAGTGGCGAAAACCAGGATGGCTTCCTAGGGAAGAGGAAAAAAAAAAAAAGAAGGATAAAATCAGCTTCGTGAAATTATTAGATGTATTACTGGTTTCAGAGGAGAGGCAGTGGGCTCGCTAGGGCATGGGTGAGATGCCCTTGCTAGGGGCTGAGGCAGTACCAGGGTGCGGCGGCCGAGCGTCGTGTGGGAACGGGGCATCAGGGGCTCCTTGTCCGCCCCGCCGGGGCTTGTCGCGTTTACCCTCCCGGGGCTTTGAGCAGGTGACCTGGCCACAGAAGCAGCGCGCCTCCGGCTCCGGTCGAGAGGGCTATTTTTGTCCCACGACATGGCGGTGGCTCAGCGCAGCTTCGCCATTCGGGCACGCAGAAAGGTTCTTTCCGTCAGCTCTGGCTTTAAACTTCTCTTGAGGAGCTTTGGACCAAAAAGATGCTGTGCAAGAAGAGTCTGGATTTGAGGTTCCCAGAGGTTCGGATTTCCCCTCGCTGTCTTGCGGAATGCGGCAAGGAGCCCGTGCGATGTGCCGAGAGACGAAGAGGTCTCGCACAAGGCTGAAACTGGAAACAAGCGGAGAAATCAATCACAAAATGTATTAGTTGCTCCGGGATGCAGGCTTTGACTCATCTAGAGGTGTGCGATCTTTAATCTTCGAGTCTTAGCTACTGCATGTGAGGGAGAAGTGTACCATAACAGCACTAAATCTATCAAAACAGAAGAAAACCTGTCAGTGGGCTTCTGGGCGCCCAGGAAACCTTCCCGAGTTTAATAATGCAATTTCACTTATTAAATCCCGCTACCGCTTAATCAAAAAAAATATATATAAAAGAAAAAAAGAAAAAAAAGGCAGAAAGCAGCCATCCTTTCTCTCCTAGAGCCTTCTCGGAGTTCAGTAACACTCAGAGTGTCACCACAGGACTGGCCGGCATCACTGGCCCCATTTTTTCATCCAGTCGGAAATGGACACACTGTCATGGGTAGTGTAAGCAGGGGAGCGAGGTCTCTGGAAGTTGATGTAAATACACAAACACCCTCCCCCCCATACACACACCCCAAAATTCTGGGGTGAGGAAAATCCTTGAAAGATATTAAGAAGATGTCAGAGCGTGGGTCGAGCCGAGGACTGGAAAAGCCCAGTTTCTCTTCTGTCGCGTGCTGCCTGGCCTTAGCGCCGGCAGCCCCGAACGCACAAGAGGAGCGAAGCAGATCGGGTATATTTATTACTTTAAACTTTCCCCTTTGTTATCTTCCCCGTGTCAGGAAGTGTTCGAGGACAGGAAATACAGCGGTGATTTTGTCTCCGTGGTGAACAGAAATTTCTGGTTAGTGAGGGAGTTTCAGGCCCGCTTTTCAAGTCCCGGCTCTGTTGGGGGTCCCACCGGAGTGATCGGACCCTTTCGTTTCCCCCGCTGCTCATGGGGAC